TATGATGTGACCATGTGGCCCATCGCCTCCAATGTTTACTATCCGGCCCTGTACAGGAAAGTTTGCCAATTTCTGCTTTAGACCCTTAGTACTTTTTATTGGTCACCTTTGTGTGATCCATTTCTCTATCACTCTGAATCTAGCCAGTTTCCAGAAGAGAAGTGACAATTGTTTAAACCTTTTACATATTTAGAAATGATTTTTTAAAAATCAGTTCTTTAGAAACTTCAAAATGCATTTGACAAATCCCCAAGATAGATATGAACATTCTTTGCTCTTATTGTCATCTAAAAAAGGAAAAGGCAATTGAGTTTCTATGCTCACTCTTTGAGGGATATGAACCCTGGAGAGTTCACTTGACCTTAGTGTTCTGTCTCTGCCATGTCTTGGCTTCATGACTTCGAGTAGATTATTTAACCTCTGTGTGTCCCAGTTTGTCTATCTACACAAATGGGGTTGGTAGTAGACCTAACTCTGAGAATATTATGACCATTAAATGACTTAATGTACACAATTTTGAGGTCAAGACTTGATTCCTAGAGTTATTATTATGTTCTTCAGCTTCTGTAAAAAAATAATTCAAAGATAAGCAGAATGGTAAAAAGTAAGGTTTTAAAAAAGGTGGGGACATTTTTCAGTGAGTTAAAAGGTTATAGAATCTATGCTTATTAACTATTCTACATTCAGTTTTTACAGAGATTTCTATAAAAATAGTTGAATAAAAAGTCAATGTCCTCTGATAACTTGATGTGTAATACAAGGCTCATAATATAGTACGAGGGTACAAATAAAAGATATTGTGAAGTCCAACAGATAGCACATCTGTACAAAGCCTGTGTAGACTGATTTTAGGTGGGCTATGCCTGCCTAGTGTCTCCTAAAATATCAGTGCATCTTAACTGTAAAGGGTCGGGTCTTCTAACCCCTTTAAGTCTGTTACATATAGTAGTATCCAGCTCTGATATGCATGCTGACAATTCTTGGATAGGTTATTTAACTCAGGGTTTAAAAATGTCTAAATGGGGGTTGAACGGTGGCACAGAGGTAAAACATAACAGTCTGTGGGGCTGACCTACGTGGAAAAGTTCTGGGTTCATACCCAAAAACCTCCATGAGCTGACTGAGCATGCTCATGCCCTTGATCTGAGGCTGGCTGAATCTGGGGATGGATCACAGCATCGAGAACCTGTTTGGTGCATTGTCTCTCTGTCTTTCTCTCTTGTGCTTATGGAACAAATACACAGAGTTTGCATTTTAAAGTTTATGAGTAACTGCTAAGAGCTAAATATTTACTAGGAAAGATAATAATTATATCCAGGTTCTCCTCTAAGAATGATTGATGTTTGCAGTACATGTATAAATAATGAACTACCAGATTCATTCTATGTAGAAGTAGATGAAATCATGAACTTAAAAGAGAATCATCTTGTATTCAAAGCCATTCTCCATCCATTACTAGATGTGAGATAGAGAATGTACACACCTTGACCCCTGTTTACTTAGGCATAAAATAACAATACTAACAGTACTGAAATCAATTAGTCATATATTTCATAAGTAATTTATTGAATAGCTATGTGTTAGCCAGAGATGGAATTGAACATACAGAAACAAAACAGATAACTCTTGTTCTCAAGAGTTTTTTAATTTAATTTAATTTTTTAATTGGTTGTAAGAATTAAGCATTCTGTACAAGATATGGGTACATTACGTTTTAGAACAATGTTACCATTTTAGTCTATTGCCTTGCTAATAACAGAAATCCCCGAATCTGGGTGTTTGTAATAGAGGTTTATTTAGCTCATGGTTTTGGAGATCAAAGTTAGGGAGCTGCATCTGGTGAGATCTTCTTGCTGGTGGGGGCCCTCCACAGAGATGTGAGGAAGCACCAGGCTTCACATGGCAAGAGTTTGGCCAGAGCAAGAGCGTACATGTCTGTGTTCAGGTGTTTGTGCTCCAGACTCTCCTTGTAAAGTGACCAGGAGTTAATCACTGAGCCCCCTTCCTACTCACCTCCCAAAGGCTCCACTTATTAACCCCATAATCAGATTAGACTTTCTCTTAATATCATAGCAATAAGAGCTGAATCTCAACAGGAATTTTGGCAGGACACATTTAAATCATAGCAGTTGCATTGATGATGGTGTTGCTGCTGCTGCTGCTGATGGTTTCAGACACGGGTGCTTCCTTATAGAGTTGGCAATACCAGGGAATTTCTCATGTGTGGAAATGCTTCTGGTCCATGGCTTTTAACCTGTGTTCCTCATCTTGATCATGTCTCAAACCAGTGATGCAAACTAGAAATTATAACTCTTGATTGGGGTTCTTTATTACTGTGACTCAGTTTTTGTTAATAAATTTAATCAGCGAATTATTCAAAAACAGGTATTTATCTATTCAATGGCTATTACAAAAGCATTGAATTTCCTCTCATATGATGGGTTTTCAAGAAGTTCATTTAAAAGTCATATTATAAAAATCTGTTCATGAATTTCAAAAAAATGTTTGTATCAAAATAAACTCATATATTTAATTCTATTTCTCTGTTTTAAAGTCCCCTCATACATGCTGAAACTATTTCTTAAGTTTTTGTTTTGTTTTGTTTTTACCATAGGGTGCATGCACTTGCTGGAGAGAGACAGAGACAGTGAGAGGGAAAGTGAGAAATCACGTCCCCACCAGGGGTAATGGCACTGCCACAATTCCTTCTCCTTCATTCTCCTCCTAGGATTTTAAGTGCACACACACATGCCAGTGTGAGTTTTCAAGAAGTTGGGATGTGAGAGTTCAGTGCCTTAATCACTTCGCCGCTTGCTGGCCCTGCTGAAAATATTTCCATTGACTAAAAAGCCTTTTCATTGGTGAAATGGAATTGAGACTCTTTGAAGACTAGTATATCACTGATTGACTGAAATGTGTGCAGCATTATCAGAAAAAAAGTAATTTATCCATTACATATATACAGAGAGAGAGAGACAGAGAGGGAAGGAGAAGGAGAGAATAAATGGCCAGAGAAACCAGAGAATGTGATTAGAGGAATCAGTCCATGTGGAATGGAAGAAGTTGTAGGTGGTACAGAGAAGGCCCAAAAATAAAATGGATAAGGAAAATTAGGGGAAAAAACACACACACACACACACACACCCAAACGGATTATCCACCAACTCATTTGTGTTTATATTTTTTCCTTAACTTCTACAAATAGCTCTCCTCACAAAAGTCATTTTGGAAACTTATCTTTCAAAGTTTGTAAAGACATCAATGGTTTTAGTTATCTTCACTTAAAGAGGGTAATTTATCATCTAGTCAAGTGTGCATGTGTCTGCCAGGAAAGCTTTGAGCCAACATACATCATACTCAGTAGCTTCAAGGATTTGGTTTGCCTTCTTGTGTGTATTTGAATATAGAATTCATTTTAATCTGACATTTTTTACCTCTCATCATATTTTTCTTCTAATTAAGTTCTATAAATGTATCCTCTACCTGGTTTGAGCTGTAATAAATTCCTTTCTTGAATTGGCCTTCTGAAAGTCACAAACCAACATTATGATGAATAGCAAAATGAATAATTTCCCTTCCACTGTATTTATTGTGAGCAGCAAAATGCTAGAGAAAAAAAAAAAAATGAAGCAGCATTTCACTAGAAAGAAGGTCCTGTCCATAATGGTTACATGATTGTGCATTGAATGCTTCTAATACTGACCCCAGCAGGTTTCCAAAACTGTGTAGATCACATGCAAGAAAATAATTTTTCAGTTTATAATTTGGGAGTTTAATGGCAATAATGAAAGAGATTGGTAATGAGAAGAGTTTTTGTGTGTTTTGTTTTGTTTTCTCCCCTTATAAGCCCCAGGGTTACTCATATAGGAATGAACTAGCGCCGCCATGATTGCTTTGGGAAACTGATTTTCTAAAGTCCACATTGCAGAAGAAGGGAGCAAGGCAATTCACAGAATGGACTCTAGGAAAGATGAATGTTTAATTACTATTTTTAAAGTCATTTATGGTACTCTACTTTATAGGCAAGTAAATGCTGTAAATGCTTTATGTCTTTGAGTTGAGATGGCCAAATTGAAATTGAACAATTCATCGCTAATATTTAGGCTGCTGTTTTAATAGGTACTTAACATTGGGCACAATTGTTCCCATTACATTGTAAGGCATAGATAAAACACTATATAAATAAGATTAAAGCATTGCCATAGATAAAATATTAGGCATTAACCTCGTAGACTTTTGATTTTAGAATAGTTTAGCTCCAATATTTAAAGAGCCACAGTGATCAGAGCCTGGTTCAAATACTAGTGCTTAATGTGTTAATCATTAATTTTACATACTTCTATCTCATTTCCCTCTATGCATTTACAGAGTGAGAATTGCCTTATGCATCTTGAATTCATTACCATAATTTGTGTACTGCGCATTGAGTGAGGCCAATTTAAGTGGCATATTAGCACAGAATTTTAGTTCCTTCGCTGTGTGTAGATAGTAGGCCACAGAGTTAATGTTTCATTTATAGTATTTATTATAGAACTATGATAATGTGGTTATGATTCATGATCGTTTTCTGGATAATGCCTGATTTAAGACATATTGTAGCCTGAAAAGAATTTTGATTTTCTTTAATAATTATGGCCACGGATTGAAATAGTCTATTATATAAAATATTATTGACATAACTTTTCTTCCATAAAAGAAAAAACAGAATTACTGTCTTCTAGTGAGAATTAGAAATGCACAGTCATCTGAAACAACCATTTTATCCTGCAGATGAGGAATCCGAGATTCAATGATGTTAACTATTACTAGATTGATGGAGATCAGAACACTCTTACCATTAGAGAATAGCTGGGATACAGAACCTGCTTTCTCACACCTCTGGGCCAGCACACTTAACCATCCTGCCTCACTGAAATAGAAATCACTGCCATTTTATTCACTCACATTTGCAAACATTTGCTATTATAGTCCTCTAACTCTTCTTTTCTTTCTCTGTGTAGCATCATCATGCATCCCTGCAAAGACAGCCTAGTCACCTGTGGTGAGGACCGCTTCTGGAAGGTGGTGAGCCTCCCAGACGGCAATGTGCTTCTCACGGGAATTGGCCACACCGACTGGCTCTCCGCCTGCTGCTTCCATCCCAGGTCAGTGCATACAACCCTGGAACCCAGCTAATTCCTCCAGGGAATCCACTTGTTTACTGATTCCTCACTCTGCTGGCTTGATGACACTTTTCTCTCTGCAGCCTCGCTCTCCACAGCATTTCGAAACATGTAGATAAATGCTCCTTTGGCTTTCATTATATTGACTTTTGATCAATTGCTTTTGATATTTGGTACATGCAGAATGTAGTCCACACGTGGATGCATTTAACAAGAGTGATAAGTTTTTCAGGACACGCTTTATTAATGCTCCTTGTGCTCACAAGCCCTGGCAAGGCACATGGATTTCTAGTCAATAATTAATGCCACTACTTACTTTGCCTCTGTTAATCTTGCACTTTTGCTTTCAGAATAAAGTTATCTACCAAAAAGAATCAGAAGGCGGTGTTCGATTTCTTTAAAAATTCAGTGATACTCAAGATATTAAAGAGAACAAAGCAGTACTGAAAATACTGAGTCCTAGATGTTTTTGCACCCAAAGACCAAGGGCATAGAAAAAAGACATTGTTAAACATACAGATACACTGATTTTTGTGGGTGGTAAGTTCTCCACACAGATCCTGGGTCAGCTTCTGTTTTCTGTTCTTTATCATCATTTTTATTTTTATTTTTAATAATTATTTAATTTTTATTTGTTATTATTACTATTAATTTGCTATGGGAACATATGTGCTCACCAAAGAC